CATCTGTACGTCTCATTTCTGGAGCTGTGGCTGTTGAAGTGTCCAATACATTACTTTGCTGCAGGCTCCCACATTTTCTCTGCTTAAGGTCATCACTGCTCCCAAAAAGGATGATGCAGTTCCGAAATAAGGGAAATAAAGAGCAGTGATAACAACTTCCTTCAGTTTTGCCAAAGAAGAAGAGCAGTGGGCTGCTTGCAGGTATAATTATCCAGAACGCCAACCATTTCTCCCCACCAGTCTGTTGTGGGGCCCCACATTACCCAGGAGAAATTCAATTTTTTGAGTCTTGAAGGTTTCTAGGCTTTCCTCTTTAGACCACAAACATCTTTATAAAGATGATCGGGATCTCCAGTGCCTTCAGGAGCTAGGCAGGTAATTCACTTCTGAAGGAGCTGGGGTTAGACAAAAAAATGAGTTGATTACTGTGTCAACCTGTGGATTGCTTCCCCTGCTCACTCGCCTTGACAACACTGTGTGGCTAATAGTCTGTGGGTTACCTGTTTGTAACACCAAAAGGCTCCATTTTTTTTTTCCTCCAGATTGTCAAAGTTTGTTGTAGAACGCATGAGAAATAAAACTACAGAAAAGTCTAAATAAGCAAATAGAATCATCAGTTGATCCCCGATCCCATTAAGTGTTCTTGTTACCTTGGCATATTCCCTTCCAGTTTTTAAGTGTAAAAATCTGCATCAATGGGATCTGCCCTAAAGCGACACACGTGAACCTCAGTTAAGAAATACTTGGGGTTAAAATAAGGATATCACTAGGTCCTGTTTCAGACTGAGAATTAGCTACAAGTCAGGCCCTTGGAAGATAGAACCCGGAGAGATAAGTAGAAATAGAAGAATATAGAAGGGTGAATGGGAGGTAAGGACAAAGATAAATCTCCTGTTGTTCATGGATTTGCCAAAGGAAAACTGGCCAAAAAAAGATCTTCAGCATGAGGCTGGCAGCGAGGGCCTGATGGAGCTAGGGGGTGCCAGGAAGCAGGGTCAATGCTTTCAGGGTGGGGTAGAGGAGCGGGTGAGGTGTTAAAATTAAAGCTCCTCAGAACTCTCTGTCCATTCCATCCCCCTCCTCCAACCAGTTTCAAAGACATTAATGTAGGCCGGGCATGGTGGCTCACACCTGTAATTTCAGCACTTTGGGAGGCCGAGGTGAGTGGATCACCTGAGGTCAGGAGTTCGAGTCCATCCTGGCCAACATGGTGAAACTCTGTCTCTACTAAACATACAAAAAAATTAGCTGGGTGTGGTGGCGTGCACCTGTAATCCCAGATATGTGGGAGGTGGAGGCAGGATAATCGCTTGAACCTGGGAGGCAGAGATTGCAGTGAGCCAATATCGTGCCACTGTACTCCAGCCTAGGCGACAGAGTGAGACTCTGTCTTAAAATAAATAGATAAGTAGATAAATAAAAAACAAAATAAAAGACACTAATCTACTTAGAAACTTAAAAAAAAAATTAAGCTACAGGATTTTTTTTTTTTTCAAGGAAAATCTTAGGGAAAAGCTGTTTATGTAAACAGACTATAGCAGAGCTGGTGTGTTCCAAAGAGGGGGACCTGAAGCCCTCTCCACAGCTCTTAACTCTAAGCCCACCCACAGCAGTGTTCAAAAACGCACCTCATCTCTGCTCTGTTTGCCCTGGCCCTGAGAAGCAGCGCTTTCCTCTCAGATCTTCCAGAACTCCTCTAAGTTGCTGATTCCAGTGACCCTCATTTTATTCTTTGTTCTTCTCCATATTTGCTCTTTCTCAGTTTGATGAATCTCCTCTTGTCGCATTTTAGATACGTATTGACTTTTGCACAACTTCCCAAGACATTCTCAGAGAAAGATTGACGGGTGTAGGGTCACGGGGGAAGGAGGTTTAGCTATTTTAAATGTTAGTAAACATGACAGTTTGTTAGGGATTAACAGGAAATCATGAATAAAATCATTGGGATTTGATAAGGGATTTTTCTCCCAGACAATTAAAGATTTTTTTTTTTCATTATCTTTCTCCCGCCACAAAAAATGTCATAGATGAAGGTCACTGGGATAACCCATTATCAATCTAATACTCTTAGAACAGATAAAAGACAAAAGTCCTTAAGCTTATGCTGCCATGGGGCCCCTGTGAACTGTTGTTCTGGCATCTTTTTAGCAGGTGATACTGTCCTTTAATACCTACTACTTAATTCTCAATTTTCTTTTAAACATCAGATATTGAATAGTCTGCAAACTCCTTTAGGCAATAAAGAACTCTCATGCTCTATGGCCAAGATCTGCCAGGGAGTGAAATATTTTTGATACAAAAGAGTAATTCATTAAAGGTGATAATGAAGGCAATTCAAACCCTCCACAAACAGCACCAGGTGAGTAAAGCTCGTCGCTCTCAATTTAGGGTCATGTTGTAAAGAGAGGGAAAAAAAGAAGAAAAAAAAAAACTGCACAAGTGGGCCAAAAATTTCAGTGGGGCTCAGTCGAGCTGACAATTTAGAATTTGACAAACAAGCAGAAAAAAAGGGAGTTTTATTAATATTATGAAAAAAAATCCCTCTGGAATAAAGCATTATATTTCCATGTTATTTTTTGCACTCATATGCTCTTACATGGTCTTAGGGAGAAATCTGCCTTTGAGATGAAATTTTGCTGATCTGATTACACCTCAGGGGCTCTCCCTTGCACACACTCAGCCAGAAGCACATACTGTCTCATACACCAGTGTGAGTGGCTTAGATGATGGAGAGATGTGGTAGTGAGAGAACGGAGCTACAAAATTTGGGCATTCTGATTGAGAGTCAGCCGGTTAGAGCCCTGCAATGCACCTAGTCCCTAGGAACTGAGAGGATCAGGTATCTACTGGACAGATCTGAACCAGTACGTGTTTGTCCACCAACCCTGTAGCCCAAGGAGCTTAACCTGAAAAGTAGCGTATATTAACTGTTGAGAGAGGTATCTTGGACTGTTCTTCTCCCTCTGTTTTAGGTCCATAAAATAGGGTTTTATGGGAGGTCCCAAACAGGAATATTGAACTAACACAGAGAAGTCAAGGAGTTGAAAAGGTCCCTGTCAGATATGAGAAAGCCCCATACTAAATCCCTGCTGGGTGGACTTCCGAACTTTACCTGAACGTTTTCAGCGCCCTGTTGCTCACTACCCTGGAGTCTATTCTCTTGTTGAACAGCCTTAAGTATGAAGAATTCCTTTCCTGAATTCAGCCTAGTGTGTTTTAATATCTTTCTTTCTTTTTTTTCTTTTCTTTTTTGAGCGAGGGTCTCACTCTGTTGCTTAGGACCATAGCTCACTGCAGCCTTGAACTCCTGGGCACAAGTGATTCTCTTGCCTCAGTCTCCCTAGTAACTGGGGCCACAGGTGCAAGCCACCACGTTTGGCTTATTTTTATTTTTTGTAGAGATGGGGTTTTACTATTGTTACTCAGGCTTGTCTCCAAACTCCTGGCCTTAAGCTATCCTCCTGCCTCAGGACCCCACAGTGCTGGGATTACAGGTGTGAGCCACCATGCCCGGCCCATGATTTCTTTCTAACTTGGTCTTGGGGTCTCTTTCAAGAGTGGCTGTAAGCCACTGATAGGGGATAAAGTTAGTTGGGGTGTGTGGGTCAAGTGAGACTCAGAAGAGGCAGCACAGCAAAACCTGTGAAATAACAGAAGTGTTTCTGTTGTTACAGAGCCAGGAGAATAAGAAGAGTTGCTGGGGAGTTTGGCGGTGGCAGGGAGCTCAAACAGTGTCTGGGGAGAGAGAGGCCTGTTGTGGGACTGGGACTTTCTTAAGGTCCATGGCGTTATCTGTCAGGCTTTCCTGCAGGGGTTGTGGATTGGGCAGTTTAAAGAAAACACATATGAAGAGCAGGTCCTATTCACATGACTCTGGTGTTGTCCATTGGGTTTTACTGTGGTCGGCAGGTGCGGGAAATGTTGGGTTTTTGGTCAATGGGATGAGGGACAAGCAGGCCACATGGCAAACAACCATGTGGGGAGGGCAAGTTTTCGGTAGGTCAGAGGCAATGGGGTACGACTGGGTTTCAAGCAACTTAAGTCATGCCTGAAAACAGATGTGGAGGCTTCAACTATATGAAACAAATTTATGAGTCTTGATTATCTATAAATTAGCTTCCATTCTCTTTAGAAAGGACACCCAACATATCTCTTACACATGGCAGCCTTTCAGATACTATATCTCACTCAGCATCCTCTCCTTCCCCACCTAATCTGATAACTCAACCGAAATGACAACCTCCTGGGTCCACTGACATTCAGACAGGAGGAATGGAAATCTGGTGGAAATCTCTCTGTGTCTGTCTCGCCTCCCACACTGTTAGTATTATGTTTTTGTTTGTTTGTTTTTCCGAGAATAAGGTACAGACTTCCATACACTCTAATTATGAATTTCCTAAAAACAAAAGTATCCTCTTACATAACCCCAGTTTATCAAAATCTGAAAATAAGCACTGATACAAAACTGTTAGTTAATCTACAGATCTTATTCAAATTCGACCACTGCCCAATAATGCCTTTTACAGCAAAAGAAAAAATTGTTTTCTGGCCCAATGTTTAAACTATAATTACTTATTATGCTGACTTGTCATGCCTTTTTAGTTTCCTTTAGCCTCATGTTTTGTTCTGTTTTGTTTTGCCTTTCATGACCTTGACATTTTCGAGGAGTGTAGGTCAGGTATTTTGTAGCATGTCCTTCATTTAGGCTTTGCTGATTTTCTTCATGATCCAATGCGGGTTATGCATTCTTGGCAGGAACACCATAGAAGTGATGCTGATCTTTCTCAGGGCATCATATCGGGGGCACGTGATGACTGTCCCATTACTGGGGATGTTAACTTTGATTACTTGGTTTAAGGTGACATCTGCCAGTTTTCATACTAAAACATTATTATTCCCTTGATGATTAATAAGTATCTTGTGGGAAATTCACTGGAACATTCTCAAAGAGGTGCAGCTGGAGAGCCTGTGATTGACTCTGCCTTCCCCTTTGTTTTCAGAGTCGAACGGCCGCAGGGCAGTGAACCGAGGCTACGTCACCAGCTTGCTCTGGCTGCACCAGGACTGGCACAGCCGTGACACAGCCAACACCTACGTGCAGATCCGACGGGGCTTGCTGCTCTGCCTCAAGCACATTTCTGCCCTCCGGTCCGGCAGGGAGGCCTTCCTGGCAGCACAGGGCATGGAAATCCTCTTCAGCACCACACAGGCAGGCAGCATGGGGATTCACTCTGCAGCTGGAGGCCAACTGGGTGATTCCTGAAGGCTGTCATTTAGGAATCATCCCAGACAGAGCTGGGAACACCTCAATCTATTTCTTGTTGCCTGCGAAGGGCAGATGTTCTGGATTCAAGTCTTTATTCCAGGCCAGGCTTGGTGGCTCACGCCTGTAATCCCAGCACTTTGGGAGGCCAAAGCAGATGATCACCTGAGGTCAGGAGTTTGAGATCAGCCTGACCAAAATGGTGAAACCCCTCTCTACTAAAAATATAAAAATTAGCTGGGTGTGGTGGCGCATGCCTGTAGTCCCAGCTACTCAGGAGGCTGAGGCAGGAGAATCGCTTGAACCTGGGAGGCAGATGTTGCAGTGAGCTGAGATCATGCCACTGAACTCCAGCCTAGCTGGCAGAGTGAGACCCTGTCTCAAAACAACAACAACAACAACAAAACAATCTTCATTCCATTGATTCATTCATATATACTTAACATATGTTTGTTGAATACACACTACCAGAAGTGCAGTATGGCATAGTGGTAAGTGTTGACTCTAAAACTAGAGAACTGGATTCAAATCCCAGCTCTAGGGCCTACAGCTGTGAAACTTTGAAAAAGTCACTCAACTTCTCTGGGCCTCTAGATTCTTCAAAAGAAAAACAAAAGCAGAAATAACAAAACTTAGGTTGTCGTGTGGACTAAATAAGTCACTGTACAAATAGCACATGCCCAGAAGAGTGCTTGCCATGACTGAACTGCGTTTTGAGGATGAGCCATTATTGGAATAATTAGCAGTGGGATCTCGTGGTGGATATGACAAACGAGGCCCTTGAGCCTATAGGGAAAACCTCCTAGCAGAAGAATCAGACACTAAGTAAGCAAAGAATCCAATGAGGAAGATAATTTCATATTGCACTGTGAAATCAATGAAGTAAGGGCATAGGTCTACAGGGGCCACCATAGGTAGAGGGAGCAGGTGTTCTTTTAGAGAGAGAGGTCAAGTCATCTCTGAGCAGGTGACACCTGAGCTGAGACCTGAGTTATTGGAGGAGCTGGTCATGCTGGTCAGGCCAAGTTGCAGGGGAAGAGCATCCCAGGGAAAGGGGATGGTGTCTTCAAAGGTTTCTACTTATCAGCACCCCACTGGAATATGCATTCTAGGGATTCCTGGATTTCAACCTAAATACATGCCTTAATTTCACCTGATTAGGGCTAATTTAAATGCCATAGTTTGAGGCTACATATGCCCTCCCTGTTGGTGGTATAAGTGTTCCAAATATCCATCATCTGCTCACCCACCTTCTCTTGGGGCCAAGGCAGCCATGTTGCACACGCATTATGTTCCTATTATCTCCAGATTAGGCCACCTCTGGACTCCCTTTTTCAGCCTTCTTGCTCCTCTATGGACACCCTCCAGTTTTTCTCTATCTGAGTACATCTGAGGTAATGAAGCCCCCAATGAGAGTGTTGTTTGTATCTGTAGACATTTCTCATTAAAAAATGGCCTTACCCCCGCCAAACAATAACAAAATACAGTGCTGCAAACCAATATCTAATTTCCTATCTGCTATCACCTCTGGATTTCTTTCCATCATTACAGCTTTCAAAGCTTCTCAGTCATGAAATAGCTATATTTTACATTCTATGTCTCAGGATGAAGCAGGGCTTTGAATTTTTCCAAGCTCCCTCTTGCTTTGTAAGCTTGTGGTCCCCCAAGTCTCTAATCCCTCCCAGTCCTAGTGCAATGGCCTCCTGCATTGCTGATGTTTAACAGACCCCCACTCTGGTCCAGGGTTTCACCATGTTCCTCTGCCCTCCATGTTATTGGCTATTTCTCTGTTCTGTGCTGAAAAACCAAACAAAAAACAAAACAAACAAGAAAAACAAGAGCAATAAAGGAAGAAGATGGTAACCACAGAGGGACATGTCTATGATAGAAATATGGTGGAGAAAACACCAAACGAAGCCCAGCATGAGAGGCTGTGAGCCTGTGTGCAGGTTCTTCAAAACAGTTCCTTTAGCAGGTCAATGAAGACTTCAGTTGCTCAGTTAAGCACATTAGCAAGAAGCTTCCAGCCTTGAATTACTGTTGGAATGGAAGCAGAATGTGAGTACACACAGAGTGTGCACTTTATAGTGAGGTTTCTCTAGCTTATATTATAATCTCTCTAAGAATCATATGGAAAAGCAGCCCAGGAGGGGCCCATGAGACATTGCTGAGTAAATAGGCCATGACACACCTGTCGCCTGGAAGAGTGTGTAGAATGTATGGATGTCAGCCTCAAGAGGTTGAATTCCTCACCACCACCACTCACCCTTGCTTTTAGTCTTTTAAATAGTGTGCTCTTGACCAGGTGTGGTGGCTCATGCCTGTAATCCCAGCACTTTGGGAGGCCGAGGCGGGTGGATCACCTGAGGTCAGGAGTTCAAGACTAGCCTGGCCAACATGGCGAAACCCTATCTCTACTAAAAATACAAAAAATTAGCCGGGCATGGTGGCAGGTGCCTGTAATCCCAGCTACTCAGAAGGCTGAGACAGGAGAATTGCTTGAACCCAGGAGGTGGAGGTTGCAGTGAGCTGAGATTGCACCATTGCACTCCAGTCTGGGTGACAGAGTAAGACTGTCTCAAAAAAAAAAAATTATGTGCTCTTCCAGAGGAAATGTTATCAAGTTTATGTGCAAAGTCTGATGTTTGACATTCTCCTGTTTTTTGGAAAATGATCCTTGCGGGTGAAAGATAGGCTGTCCTGGCTTAGAAACCAAATGGCTTGTTACTCTTCCCTGGCAGTCATAACCAGTGTTGAGTAGCCTCCCAGACCTGAGGTGAGTGCCGTGAGCACAGATGCCCTTGCAGGTGTACTGGAGTTAGAGCTGCCCATCACCCCTCCTCTCCCTTCTGCTAGAGAAGGCATGGGAGTCACTGGATAGTCAGCTCAGGGGCCTTGGATTTGGTGATGTTATTTCAGTTGCCATTTGCAGATTATGCTGCTGCTGCTGCTGCTGTTGCTGTTGCTGTTGCTGATGCCAGTAATAGTGATGACAATGTTAATGAAGCAGCAGCAGCAGCAGAGGCAGGAGGAGGAGGAGGAGGAAGAGAAGAAGTAGGAGAAGGAGACGACAGTTACTTTGAACTCTTACTATCAATATATCCCTTGACTGTGTTAGCAATTTATGCAGACTCTCCAATATTGATAATTTAAAAAGCTTTTGAGGTAGGCTTTATTATTATCTCCCTTTTTACAGATGAAGAAACTGAGGCACATAACTGTTAAGTAATTTTCCCAAGTTCACAAAGCTCACAAGTGTTGGAGCCAGGATTGGAATCTGGTAGTCTCACTTGAGAGCCCATGCTTTTGCCCACTGTACCAGCAGCTCCCCAACTTGAGCATGCATCAGAGTCACCCAGAGGGGTCACTAAAGCAGAGCCCGTTGGACTCCATTCTTAGAGTTTCTGACTCAGCAGGGCTGTGGTGGGGCCTGAGAATGTGCTTTCCTGACAACTGCCTAAGTGATGCTGATACTACCGATTCAGGATCACACTTGGAAAACCACTGTCCTATATTAGTTTTATGGATGTGTATGATGTGCTTACAAGCCTACTGAGAATGAGATTGACTGTAAAGGAACTTTTTAAAAGTCCTTCCTACACCTTTGCCATCATAATATTCTTCTTTGCCTTTCTGCTGAGGTCACTGCTTGCATTGTCTCTCTCTTGGTGACCCTACCTCTTTGTTTCCTGAGTCTTACATTTCTGCACAGATTCTGTAAACATCCCCTAAAAGTTCAAAGGCTGAGATCACCCATAGTGCAGCAAGGGTGCTGTATAATGTAGTATAATGGAATCTTATTGGCGCTTTGCATGAGGAAAGAGGAAGAAGGATGACAATTTGAATGCAAGGTTAAAAAAAAAAAGAAAAAAAAAAACTCCTACAAGGATGCCTGAGACAGTTGGAGATAATTATCAATTTGGAGAAATAGGTAACTGCAGAAGGAACAAACCTAGATAAGATAATCAGAGAAAAGAAGCACTCTTTGGAGCTACAATAGCTTAAGGGGCCTGAAAGGTTGCTAAAATTGCTGGTTTTCAAACTTGAGCATGCATCAAAGTTACCTAGAGGAATTGTTAAAACACAGATTGCTAGATCCTACCCCAGAGTTTCTAATTCAGTTGTTCTGAGGTGAGATGCAAGATTCTGCATTTCTAACAAGTTCTCAGGTGATACTGAGGCTACTGGTTTGGGTATCTCACTTTGAGAACCACTAGAATAAGGAGTGATACAGCCTTTTAAAAGTCACAGTTGCCACCATTTGCTCAGAAAGCACAGTAGGCCAAGTCTTGATTCATCAGGCTCGTCTGTGGCCAACAAGACCAAGGGCCTCAGCCTTGTGGACCTATGAAAGGAGGGACTGAATCCTAAAGGAAATATTACCAGGTTGGAATCAGGAGTTAGATACCCTGAAGGTCAGATTGGTCTGAGATCATTTACTATTGATTCAGTAAATGTTTTCTGAGCTCCTTTTTGGTGAAAGATGTTGGGGCTGTGTTCTATAGGGCGTTCAAAGATGAAGGTGATAGAGGACTCATCGTCCTCAGGAAACTTAGTGTCCTATATGGGAAAATAGGATATGGATAATGCAGTATAGGCAGCAGGCGGGGGTAATAACAGACTTCGTGTAACCATGCACAGGAGGCCCTACTTGGTCTTGCCGACCAGAGAAGCCTCCAAGAAGGCACCCACATTTGAATGAGGCTAGGAGAGTATTTTGAAAAGTCTAAGAGAAACACTTGGTTTGTAAACTGTTCAGAGAAGCACAGGAGGTGGCCACAAGGCACAGACAGAGAGAGAAGCCATTGGTAGAAGCCATTGGAGAGTGAGTGGGACAACTAGGACGTTTTGGAGGGTCAGGCAGAAGGAAAGATCTTGGTGACAATCCAGAAGATATCAAGCCATTTCCATTTAAGATATTTTGATATTGAAGCTATGTCACATCTGCCCTTGGCCTTAGAATTTCTCATCTATGTTCAAAGAATCACTGCAAAGAGAAGGGAGAGAGGGGTTATGCCAGGCAGGCATAGTTGAAGAGCTGTGGTGTCACCTGAGACCTGAATGATAAGAAAGAACCAGTGCCATGAGGGTCTGGAGATGAGGGTTCCATGGAGAGAAAAAGGAAGTAAATGCAAAGACCCTCAGGTGGGGAAGTAGAGTGGGAGGTGGGTGAGCTTGAGAAACACAGATATGGCAGAGTGTTGTGAGTAAGGGGGAAGACATGAGATTGAGTTGGAGTCATGGGCAGTGCCAGGACATTTAGAGTTCCTTGAACCATGATGAGGACTTTGAATTTTATTTCCACCAACTTTTTTGTTTGTTTGTTTGTTTGTTTTGTTTTGAGATGGAGTCTCGCTCTGTTGCCCAGGCTGGAGTGCAGTAGTGTGATCTTGGCTCACTGCAGCCTCCGCCTTCTGGGTTCAAGTGATTCTCCTGCCTCAGCCTCCCGAGTAGCTGGAATTACAGCCATGCGCCCCAATGCCTGGCTAATTTTTGTATTTTTAGTAGACACGGGATTTCACCGTTTTGGCCAGGCTGGTCTCGAACTCCTGACCTCATGATCCACCTGCCTCGGCCTCCCAAAGTGCTGGGATTACAGGCGTGAAGCACCGCGCCTGGCCTCCATCCACTTGTAAGCAGGCACAAAGGAGGAGAAGACATGAATTAAAGAGATAGGGAAGGCCAGATCACGTAGAACTTCCTAGGGCATAAAAATAAATTAGAATTTTATTTCTATCAAGTTTGAAGCAGGAGACTGACCTGATACAATTTATGCTTTTCATTTGTTATTTTTGAAAAATTTTAAATTAATTGTAGTAAAATGCATGCAACCAAATTCACCATCTTAACTATTTTTAGGTGTGCTGTTTGGTCAAGTTAAGTACATTGTTGTATAACTGTCACTATTACCCATCCATCTCCAGAACTCTTTTCATCTGGAAAAATTAAAACTCTATAACCATTAAACTGATTTATGCTTTTAAAGGACCATTTTGGCTGCCATTTGGAAAACAGATTATCAGAGGGCACAAGGAGAAGGAAGGAGAGTAAGGGGAGGAATTAGAGTGTTGATAGGAGTTTAGGCAGGAGCTGTTAGTGGCTTTGGCTACATAGAAGCAGAGCTGGAATTTAAACCCAGGAATTTATACTCCTAGTCAAGGTCCTTTTCCACTAAAATGCCTTGCTTTGTTATCATGGGAATTATTACTAGGACTGTGCTCTGAGAAGCAGTGACTCCTAGCAGCCTCTTGCAGACTCCTAGGAGACTTTATGACACTAAGGATGCCTTATTTTTTCCCACTGGCTAATACTAAATGCTTACTATTAGGCACTTTGCCTACTTTAATGCATTTAATTTGTACACAACATTAGGAGAGAGGTTGTGTTATTATCTCCACTTTGCAGATGAAGACACTGTGGCACAGAGAAGTGTATTAATTTGCCAGGGTTATGAAGTTAGTAATCTTCAGTCCAGGATTTAAACTCACGTAGTCTGGCTCCAGGACCTGAGCAGTTTGCTCTTACTTTACTTTGCCTATGTATCGTGGAAGTAGGGTATTTATTATGCCAAAGCTAATTCAAAGATGTTAACTGTGATAGAAGCATTGAATATATTAATTGAATGCATTCTTGTATTTCATCATCCCTTCCAAGTAGCAAATGTGTTATGGAGAGTGATGGGAAAAGGGAGCCTAAAATCTCACCTTTGCCTCCAATTCTGAGACATTGGTCCATAAGGATCGTATTTCCTGGAGTCTTGTCTTGTTTTGATGCATAACACGCATACCAACCCTGCACACCTTAGTCTCACCTTAGTCTCGGCCCTGCACAGCACCTATCCATTAGCATGAGGGAAATGTTGAGAAATGAATTCAAGAATTTCTGTTACCTTGAAACCAACGATCTTTGCATTCATAAGTATTTCCCCTACAGTGCAGCAGAAGGCAAATATAGCATGATTCCTAAGGCCTTGGGTTTTATAGATTGTAATACTCCCTTCAGCCTTCAAATTCATTTCATGGTATGGCCCAATTTTTCAGAACATTTGAACTGGGCTTCATCCTTTCACTTGTTCGGTTCCACCAAAAAAAAAGACACGATTATCTTTTATCATCAAAGACCATCACAAACATACTTGTGTTCCAAAATGTTGGCTTTTTTGACTGAATTCCCTGGCTTGGGCTGGCTCTATCTCTACCAAGGTTGGAGCTTAAAACATCATATCTGATAAGTCATCTCTTTCACCTTATCGCTTCCTCCTTCAGAGTCTGTTTTATTTTTGTCCCATTCCTGATACTTTTCATGAAACACTTGAGACCATTTGATCAGACCAAAGGGTGAAATAGCTTCAACTGTTCATTAGCCTCCATAATGAATTAGCCAAAACTAATTCATTTTCCACCAAGAGTATTTCCTACTGTGTATTCTGAGGCTGTTGATTCAGGACACCTGATGAGTACGACTGGCACACACTGAAGGGGAGAGAGCATCCTTGATTGCATTAACACATTTCATTTTGAAAGTTGGTTTACTTAAGGCTGGGCGCGGGGGCTCATGCCTGTAATCCCAGCACTTTGGGAGACTGAGGCACGTGGATCACCTGAGATCAGGGGTTTGAGACAAGCCTGACCAATGTGGTGAAACCCCATCTCTATTAAAAATGCAAACATTAGCTGGCATGGTAGCAAGCATCTGTAATCCCAGCTTCTCGGGAGACTGAGGCAGGAGAATTGCTTGAACCCAAGAGGTGGAGGTTGCCGTGAGCTGAGATCATGCCACTACACTCCAGCCTGGGTGACAGAGTGAGACTCTGTCTAAAAAAAAAAAATAGAAAGTTGGCTTACTTATATTTTGGAGTCATTTGGGTAGCTTAAATTCATGGATAAATTTTTATTACTTTTTTTTCCTCCATGTTCTTTCACATGGAAGTACCTGTAATGTTGAGTCTGGAGATGCCATAGTTCAGCAGCACCACAGACATTCACACTGCCCTGTGGTGGGTACCTGGTATCCACCATCTCCACTTCTGTAACTTATTGGCCTCAGAGCTTGTTGCACCTTTTAGGAATAGCAAACTGGAGGACCCCACAAGTCATCTTCCTGTACCAAGTCAGTAGACAAAACATTTACAACGATACTGAAGAAAATGGTCGTGTTTTTGCCAAAGAGATACTGAACTATACTAACTCTCTGTCTCTCAATTTAGTGAACTTGTTCTTACATTTTTCACAGTGTCTGAAAAGAAGGGTCTTGTCATGTTCCATCAGTATCAAAATGTTACATCTGCAAACCCAATTTTTCTCTGATTTGGGAAGGTACCAAGAGGGATCAGCACTGTGGGCTTTGAGAAGAGGCATGTAATTTAATTTAGGTACTTGGGATTCACTTAGTCTTTCCCTTTGATTTCATATTTTATCTTTTATAAAAAATATTTTTCTCTGCAGAAGACAGCTGAAAGAGAAAAGCAAGACTTCCATCAATTCAGCTGCTCATTCCCTAACGTAGGCAATAATTCACAGTGACACATGGGTGGCTGAGAAAAGACATTGGCCTCCTCTTCCCCCAGCTATCCTGAGCAATGTCTCGCCTTAGGCACAGCATCCCTTGAATGAATTTTAAGTCTATATTCAGACTGAATTCATTGCAATGATGTATGAAATGAGCAAGAGACAGAAAAGCACAGATTCTACATTAGACAAAATTCTATGTTAGGACGTTCAAATTTGACATTCTATATTAAGGCTGTTTACGGTCTGTCCATGTGTATAATTCATTAGCTGAAATACAGCTAGGAGACCGTGCTGTGTTACAGCTAGGAGAGTGTTATTAGCTGTGTTACAGCTAGGGGACTGTGCCCAGATGCTGGCGTCTGATATAATCTTCCCTTTGCTCAGAACTGCCTGGATGACAAGAGCATGGAGCCCGTCATCTCTGTGGTGCTTCAGATCCTGAGGCAGTGCTACCCTAAGAGTCCACTTCCCTTAGTCACAGCCAGCAGTGCCTATGCCTTCCCGGTCCCTGGGCACATCGCCACTGAACCTCCATGTGATCTACCTGAAGGTAAAATAAGTGGGTAACTATGACCTTTAAGATGAATTTTTGCATTTTGATAATGTTTCCCAGGAAAGTGTATGAAAATAGAATTAGTTGTTTCATAGGTCAACCATAATTGTCTATTAAGCTAATTAGAGACATACATGAAAAAGCAGTTTTGATTTTCATAAACAGGGTGAGAAAATACCAAGCTCACTTATTTTGTTCTTCATTATTAACTGTTTCTGCTTTGCCTAGTAGCTATCAAATGCCTGTACAGTAATCTCAGCTAATTAAAAAAAAGTCTATTCAGAATCCCATGATCGAATCTCTGCAGCATACTGACTGATTGTGGAATTAGTTTGCCCTGAGGATGAAATTAAAATAAAACTCTTGTTATTTACAACTCTAGGCTAGACATATTGGAATATTTGAAAGTGTTATTATTTAATCTCTAGGAAGATCTTCCTGTCAAAAGATCCTAGTACGAACAGATTTTCTATAGGCATGATTTTGCCACAATGGTACAAGATGCCTTCTATGGATTTTGTTTTAAATAACTTCCTCAATCAAAAAATTAGGGGCTCAATCAAGGTGATATTTAGGTTATAACACATTTTGTACGTGTGTGATCTCTAAACTTTGGCTATGCTAGTTGCATAAATACCTCTGACTTTCATGGGAGAATCCAGAATGGTATTCATGTGTCATTTTTTCTGCACTTATTTTGCATTCAATGTGGGATAACTGTTTAAACTTTATGACTTAGTGCCCCAACGTACCTACGTGCACACCATTTGTACTGACTAATAAGCATTTGTGTGTGGTGGAATATTGTGCAATTAATATTGAGCCCCTTATTTGAGAGAGGAAGAAGAAAGAACCACTGTGTGGTGAACATCTAAATCCTAAATCCCAGAAAAACAGGAGACCTCACTTATTTCACCTCTTTTTCCCCGTCCAGAGGATTTTGAAGATGACGGCGATGACGAGGTGGACAAAGACTCTGATACTGAAGATGGGAAAGTGGAAGTAGGTACACCAGCTCATGCTTCTAATGATGTCCATAGTCACATCATGCACAGAAAAACATCACTTCCTATGTTTGCCCAAGCCCAGTGTAAATTTTAAGAACTGACTTTAGTACTGCCACTCCAGTGGTAGTGATGCTCAATAAATGACAGTTACTGTTATTGATTTCCCAGTTGTCATTTTCATCTTGGTAGGTCCGGTACAATGTCTCATTGTAAAGTCAGAGGCTATCCTATACATTATGAAGACACCAATACTTTATTCAGATGAACTTTAGGTACACAATACTTGGAGTTGGTATATTTAATAAGATCATTTAAGACACTAGAAAAATTTTCCAGGAAGCTTTCTAGTAGATCTCACCTGTCTTCATAAGTTACTCTTCTTATCCTTTCTGTACAGGGCTGCTGCATCGTACAAGTCCATTGACATCAGACTCTGAATTGTTTTCCCTTAAGTTGCACAGTGCACAACCTGGCCAGTAGAGAAGTGTTGCTCTTTGGTTCCCCCTCCCAAAAAGGCCTATCCTATAGAACAGAGGTTGGTGAACTTCCTATAAAAGGTCCAATAGTAATTATTTTAGGCTTTGTGGACCATACAGTCTTTGTCACAACTGCTCAACTTTACCGTTGTAGCACAAAACAGCTATAGACAATTTGTAAACAAATGGGCATGGCTGTGTTCCAAGAAGTTTGTTTGTTTGTTTGTTCTTGAGATGGAGTCTCACTCTGTCACCGGGCTGGAGTGCAGTGGTGTGATCTTGGCTCACTGCAACCTCCGCCTCCTGGGTCCAAGCAATTCACCAACTTCAGCCTCCCGAGTAGCTGGGACTACAGATGCCTACCACCACACCCAGCTAATTTTTGTATTTTTAGTAGAGACAGGGTTTCACCATATTGGCCAGGCTGATCTCGAACCCTTGACCTTGCAATCTGCCCACCTCAGCCTCCCAAAGTGCTGGGACTACAGGCATGAGCCATTGTGCCCAGCCTCCAAACAATCTTCATTTTCAAAAATAAGCAGTGGGACGTAGTTTACTACTGTTTTTCTACAACAAGGTTTCAAGACCTTGGCACTGTTGGCATTTAGACTGGATACTTCTTGGTTGTGGGAGGCTGCCTTGTGCATTGTAGGATGTTTAGCAGCATCCCTGACCTCTACCCACTGGATATCAGTAGTACCCACCTTGTTATCCCCCAAGTATGAACCAAAAATATCTCTAAGACTTGCCAAAATCACCCCTAGTTGAGGATCACTGCTCTAGAATAAGAATTTGTCTGTGAATTATAATTCTCTCTCCATTTCTGTTGGTGGACATGGACTTTGACAAATTCCTTTAAGTTACAGTTTCTTAATTTTGTCGTCTGTAAAATAAGACTCAGTAAATTAAAGTCAATGCTGCCTTTTATGACATTTCCTGGGGATCAAAGTCAAATTTAAAAAATCAAAAATTTTCCCTCCTTTTCTTTCTCTCCTTCTTTCCTATCTGTTTAGAAAGAAAGAGGCTTTTGAGTTCTCTATCATGATAATCACTCACCTTGCTGATGGTAGTAGCAGACATACAGGGACTACTTCTTAAGCTACATCTGTAGGTTTAGACTGCTATTGACAGTCTGGTGTTCTCTGGGTATTGTTGATAAATAGAATCATTTCTGAAGTCATCAGTAGCAAATTGGATCTTTGCTGTGGCTTGGTGGTGCAGGCCTATGGAGTACGTGCTGAATTATTTGAATAATACTGTGCTGCTGCAGTCATTCATCAATGTCACTTTCCCCTCCCCTCTTGCTTGCTCTTTGATAACTGAATGTCTGAGGCAGAGTGTCACTCGCTTCATGTATCTGATGGGGAGGGACTGGGTGTACGATAGTGCCTGACTTCCCACACAATGGGAGGGAGGGCGTTCAGATACTTCCCTTGGCCCACGCTCTGCAGAGGGTGGAGGGGTAGGGTAGAGAGAACCCTAAACAAATAAATAAACTCAACTGGCAAAGAAACACAAGACAAATTGGTAAGAGCTTGAAAACTATTCATCAAAAGACTTCAAGCCAGGGCAAGAAGATGAGAAGTCAGCGTGAAGATGAGTTGTAGAGAAGGAGAGGAGCATGAGAGTCAGGGCTTGATTCAGAGGCACAGCAAGAGCAAGGAAACTGCTCCAGAAAACTGGATTTTCCCTGGGGAAACCAGCAGCATTTGCTGCCAGAGGCATGAACAAGAAGTCAGGCATATTTTATTTCTGGCCACAGCACTGACCCAGGCCTTTAACCTGTGGCCTTCCCATTTGACAATCTTAGGTAATAATTGGGACCAGCCTCTTGGAAGGAATGATTAAGAGGATCTTTTATGAGAGTGGAAAGTAGGATGCCGTGACTTGATTGAAAACTGCCAAGGTCAACGTATTAGATGTGGGCTGTCTTCACATACACAAGCATTAGATTCTGCAAAACTCTGAAGAAGAGGGTGATAAACAAGCTCTCCCTTCCTTCTTCCTTCCTTTCCTTTCTTTTTCATTTTTTATTTCTTTCAGGTGCTTTATTGGGTATAATCCATATGCAACATGCTAAATTCTTGGGGATGTTAATATGAAGCACAAACAGATGAGACATAGTTTTTATCTTCAAAGAGTTTGCAGTCTAGTGAACTTGGAGTTTGTCCTTATTAAGTGTTCAAATCACCACCTTAAATGGAGTGGTGAACTCAAGTTTGAGGCAGCCAAAAGACAATGTCCAAGAGCTCCAACCTATGGCACAAGAGCCAGAAAGCATTACCTGGATTAGGTGGGTAGCAGAATCCTAGTTGGTAAAGGACTGCCTGGGCTGCTGTGAGGACACAGAAGCCGGCCACCTCCAGATAAGAACAAATGCCATTTATAAGAAATACAAAAGGAGGTGGCAACCTGGCTGGCTGCCTGGTTCTCAGAGACTAAGCTCCAGAACTTTGAAGGCAGAAATGGTCTCTGTCACAACTATTGAACTTTGCTGTTGCACTGAGAAAACAGCCATGACCAAATGAATGGGTGTGGCTCTGTTCCAATAAAACTTTATTGACAAAAACAACCAGTGGGCCATAGTTTATTAACCCCTGTTCTAAGGCTAAGTGGATTGCCTAGTCACATGTGGAATGAATTAGGTTACAGCTCATGGGTTGCATGATTCTCCTCCCTTCAGATGCACCAGTTGGAGCACAACCTTTCTCGCTGTTGTGGACATTCATCCCAATGGCCTTCCAGGTGGTGGTTCCATTAGTGCCACCCTGGGCCATTGCTGAGGTTGCAGCGGAGGGGGTGGAGACAAGTGGGAATTGATGGATGAAGCTGCAAAGCACAAGAGTGGTGGCCATGGAGTTAGTCATGGTGTATACTGTACCTGAAAATATCATTACATGAAACTCATGGGAATTACTTTTCTTTTAATTTGAAGTTTGGAGAAAAACTGTGAAACATACCTGGAACATTGCATTTTGTTCCCCTTGGATCAGGAATACAAACATTTATTTTCTATGTTTGTTGGATTTAACCTTTCAGGACTGCCAGGTTTTTCCTTAACTAATGAAATATACTTGTAAAACATATGGTATTTTTTTTTTCTCTATTTCGTTAAGGAAACTTAATCTAGGATATGGAAAGATGAAGAGACTAGGCTGGTTGATACCTGGTGCCTTTTCTCTGTAAGACCCTACAACCCTTGGAAAACCCAGAAGTATTCAGAGGAGAGTCACCATTATCATTAAATTGTTTTGAAATGATGATCTATCAAGAATAAAGTGCCTGGGATTATTCAATCCAATAAATAAAAGACTCGTGGTGCCTTGGTAAATTTTTAAATGTACGAAAGGATAAAGATATAGTAGGAGACTACCAGCTCCTCCCCATGTCTTGTAAGGATTGATATAATTTCTCTCCTGCCTACTTCTCAAATCTCTTCTCCTGCAATCTTCCTCTTATTCTGTATGCATCAGCCACCTTCTTTCTGTAAGCAAATTGAAGTTTTTCCTTCTTTAATAATTTACTGCTAGGCCTGTGCATAGCTGGCTTTTTGTTTGTTTGTTTGTTTTTTTGCCATTTAGGTCTCAGCTAAAACATTACCTCCTTATGAGTCCTCCTGAGATCTCCCAATCCAAACGGCCTCCCATTCCCCAATCTTAGTCACATCACTCTCTTTTATCATTTCAAAGGGAGTTATAACTGTTGGAAATTAACGTATTCATTTGTTTGCTTTCTTCTTTACTGTGTTTCTTCTCTCGCTAAAAGGCAAATAACCGTGGAAGCATGGATGTTTGTCTATTCCATTGTGACTGAAACTGCAGTACCTAGAAGAGTACCTGCTCACAGTTGGTACTGATTAAATGTTTGTGAAAAGATTGACTAAACCTAAATGTCAAAGATAGATAAGGAGGGACAATAATTACAATGATGTTGATGATAGTAGCAATGAGATAAAGAATTTCTTTTATAATATGTTTTATTGATTATGTAGTTTATCTCATACAAATTTTTATTTCTGATGAAGGCTGACAAATACTGACATAAATGCTGAGACAAGTTGTTTATCTTCTTTCTTTTCATTTTAAAAATACAATCCAGCATAACAAAGTTTTCACTGGATAGGCTAGTGCTATAATTTGGAGGCAAGAAAACCACGTCCTAAGATTCTGAAGAAGCACATACATATCTTGTCTTGATGCTTCTCATGGTGGATTTCCTGATTGTAATCTCTTCTATGACTATTCCATGTAGGATGATGACTTGGAAACAGATGTGAACAAGCTAACTTCCAAACCTGGTCTTGACCGACCTGAAGAGGAACTGATGCAATATGAGGCGATGTGTCTTGAGCTCTCCTATAGCTTTGAGGTAGGACATACGCTGTGGTTCTGATCTTTGACGATGCATGATGGATTCTTTGCAGACCCTGGGAGGCCAAACCAGGGTATCCAGATGGAAAGCACTGCTCATCATTAGCCATCTGCTTCTGGCCTCTTCCTTAGAGAAGAGCAGAATGTTAAACAAAAATGGGAAAAGGTGTCAAAAATGGGAAAAATTTAGGATGTATGCAAGGGTTCTTCAATCTGACACCCTACACTTAGGATGGATACACAGTCATGAGCTGCCTAATGACATTTCCACTGATGACAGCCAGCATATTCCACGATGGTCCCATAAGATTATAAGACTGTATTTTCACTGCAACTTTTTATGTTTAGACGCATAAATGCCATCGTGTTCCTATTGCCTACAGTGTTCAGTACAGTAACATGCTGTACAGATTTGTAGCCTGGGAGCAATAGGCTACAGCATACAGCCTAGGTTTGCAGTAGGCTATGCCATCTAAGTTTGTGTAAGCACACCCTATGATGTTCATACAATGATGAAATCACCTGATGATGCCTTTCTCAGAACATCCTGCATTGTTAAGTAATGCATGACTGTAGCATGAAGGTACATATCACTACCTATTATCTGGTGGGCAGGGTGCCTTGCCCCCATGCACTGAAAAAGCAAATAAAAATTCATGATGATTTAATTGTTCTCGTGCCAAGTGGGACTGTTGTCCTGGATGGGTTTTTGAAGGTGGACATCCTGACTTCAGGCTTTCTTTGTTAGTAGAAACAAATTGGGAATGTTACACCTGGTGATGCTAATTCTGTGCCTAGTTGCTACTGCCACTGTTGCTGCCATCAATATTTTAGACCTGCTTTTTGATCTCCATTATTTTCTTATGACTCTTAGTAATAAATCATGAATTTGGCTGAATCTAAGGGTATAAGCTAAGTCACGTGTACAGAAGGGAGTTAATACATTCTATTTGACTTCAGAAAGCAGAAGGCGATCAGTTATAACAGTTTCAGGGAAGGAAATTTCAGTTTAGTATAAACATTTATTTCAAATAAACAGAATTATCCTAAAGTGAAAGGCACTGCCTTGGGATGCAGTGAGGCCCCCATAAATACGGTTTTTCAACCAGATTGTAATTTAGTGGGGGTCTTGAAGAAGACATTCAAATACTGTTTAGCGTTGGACTAGAGCCACCAAAAGGCCCTTCCAAACATGAGTTTCTATGATTCTGTCATTTATTTGACTCTTGAAGGTTAGTCTTTCTTAGTTGACCTTGGAGAAAGCTTCCAGATTCATAGGATTTATGCTTAACTCTGTGCCCAGAGAGTAAGGACAGGGATCAAATTGTATTCTCTACCTGGAAGGACACACTAACATATTCTGTTCCATTTTGAACATGAAGGAACTGGAGTCCAAACCTGGAGGTGATTTGAACTCTGAGAAGACTCAGTATGCGAATCACCACCACATTCTGACTGCTGCCTCCTCAAAGCAGCACTGCTACAACAAGGACCAAAGCTCCTGTGGACAAGAAAGGGAAGACTCTGTCCGGAGTTCCCTTCTGTGCATGGTGAAGACACAAAGGTCCACTGTGCATCTAGGCTCCAAAAGAAAGCCTGGAGTGAACCCGTACCAAAATGTGCAATCCAATAGTCTCGGGAGAGATTCTTCTGGAAGTGAAATCCCTGACATTCAGGCTTCCCTGAAAGCAGATGCCTGGGACATAGATGCAATTTTCTGCCCAAGGATGAGTGCCTCCTTTTCTAATTCCACTAGGACTGGAGAGGCTGTTGAAGTAATAGATAAGCTTCTGCAGACACATCTGAAGTGTGTCCCTTTCCACGATCCCTATCTTTATATGGCCAAAGCCAGAAGAACCAGCTCTGTGGTGGACTTCAAGATGGTGGCATTTCCTGATGTCTGGGGACACTGTCCCCCTTCCACCACTCAGCCTATGTTGGAACGCAAATGTGGAGTCCAAAGGTGATGGTGCTACTGACTTGGCAGCTCTTTTTTTTTCTGTTCTTTGATAATTTTATAAGTAAATGGTTTGTACAGATAATTCTACTATCTACAGGCAAGTGAGCATTAATCAGGAACATGTTAAAGCCTGTTGGCAAACTGACCAAACATACTAACTTCCCTTCCTGCAAGGACATTTCACAATCAAGTATGGGGTAGTTGTAGGGATGTATTTTCTGATGAAAAATTCCTTGAGTAATTCTAATACAACTCCTTATCCTATCTCTATTGCAAACCACTATCACCAAGAAAGATCATCTAGTTTCCCCAAATACTGGGCTCCTTCCTCAAAAGTAGGTTTTCAGAAAAATCAAGAACTGATTATTTGGGATCTCTTTTCTTGCTTCCTACAAATTGGTATGGGATATCTTGCTAATAGAAAGGAGGAGCCCCAGGTATTATAAACCCTGGCTTAGTTCAGAGAATAGTTTTGCTGCTTCACAGAGGAGGGGATGGAAAAGACATTCTCCAGGGAAGAAACACTGGATGATAGATTATTCCCAGAAGGCAGGAAAGGGAGCTTTGCCCATGGCTCAGCATATTGAGATTAAAATGAAAACTGCTAAAGGCAAAGAAAACATTTTTCTTGAAAAAAACTTTATGCACATACCAAGTCAGTGGAGCAAAGTGGGCAGACCAGAAAGTTTTCTTATTATCCACATCATTGGTAAATTATTCTCTTGATGGTAAATCCCCCAAACTGCCCCCACCTGGGGTCCTGGCTGACATATCCAACCCTACCCCCTGCCTTTATCTGTCTTGCTCATGTTTTTGAGAAACAGATCACAAGGGCTGTTCTAGCACCATCTTATCCCTGCATAGGACATCTTGCCTCTGAGTCCAGGCCTCACGTCTACTTTTCTTCACCCTTCTCTCACACCTCCCCTGTGAACTGGACTGGAAATTCAGGAAGGTAATCTGAAAGACCTCCTAAGCTTTCTTTCTCTTTCTTAGTTAAATATCCCAGATTTTGGTGTTTCTTAGAAGACTGACCTTAGCCTACTGGAGCAGGCAGAGCCCAAGGAATATAAATTGTACAAGGGCACACAGGCTTATTGGAGCCTACCAAACCTTGAAGATGCTGGCAGCTAATAGTCCTAATGTCTTCCTCAAAACTTTCTCAGTGCAAACTACCCTCTTATTCCCACAGCTAGAAAAGTTCCAAAGTCCCCCAACACAAGTGCTTTTGATAAAATTCTTCAAGCCAAGAATTCTCTAACTGAAATCTAACATCACTACTTCCTACATTCCTACTTCTCATGCAGTTTATTTTTTGATAAAGAAAGAGAAAGAAGGAGGGCAGGGCTATTTCCACTCTCTGAGCTCAAGGTTGAGGTGTTATTAAACTTCTCTGTGCTTTCATATTTCTCTGATGACCTCCAAAGTTCTTCCCAGGAGATCATAGGATGAGTGAGTTAGGGAGAGAAGGCTGACCCTTAAAATGTTTTCAATTTTCTTTTTCAGGATCAGGATATTTGAGGATATTCGAAGGCTCATCCAGCCAAGTGATGTTATAAATAAAGTTGTCTTCAGTTTAGATGAGCCTTGGTAGGTAGTCTTGTGCATCCGAGGAATGCGGGGCATGAAGAATTCTGTTAATGGCATGAGAATAGACATGTTTCCTGTTAATAATCCACTCCTCCTCCTAAAATAGCATGATGAAAATTCAGATTAAAGATCTATAAGAAAAAGTTTACCTTTAAGAATCATTGGCCAGGCGTGGTGTCTCACACCTATAATCCCAGCACTTTGGGAGGTTGAGGCAGGTGGATCATGAGTTCAGGACCAAGACCATCCTAGCTAACACTGTGAAACCCTGTCTGTACTAAAAATACAAAAAATTAGCTGGGCATGGTGGTGGGTGCCAGTAGCCCCAGCTACTCGGGAGACTGAGGCAGGAGAACTGCTTGAACCTGGGAGGCGGAGGTTGCAGTGAGCCGAGATGGCGCCACCACACTCCAGCCTGGATGACAGAGTAAGGCTCCGTCTCAAAAATAATAATAAATAATGAAAAAAAAAAAAAGAATCATCACAGTTTTCAAAGAGTAGTGATAACACATATGTTCACATGTTCCTTATTTCATTGTAGGCCTTTGCAAGACAATGCTTCCAATTGTTTACAGTTCTTCTCTAAATTTGAGTCAGGAAATCTTCGCAAAGCCATCCAAGTGCGTGAGTAAGTAAGGAAAACCACAGTGGGTATCTCCTGGCAGTTCGTAAGAGCAAGCTGTGATTGTCTCTTCTCCATGCTCTGTTCAGTGACCTCACATTGGTGACTTGAAATCAGTCATGGTGGGAGTATTTATACCTTAAAAATTGGCAAACAGTACAAGGGAAGGCTTTTCCTCTCAGGGAGTCATTTGTTAAACATTTACCAGTACACCACTAGGGAACTCACTGATACCATAGCTAAGTGAGCCATTCAGTAGAGATGAACTGTTACTAATGTGTCTTGTGTTTCAAATAATGGGTCCATATTTGGGTGTGAGAGCACTTTGACTGGGATGTTTATACTTTGATGCCAAGGCTGATTCTGCTGACCCGGAAGAGTACATGGGCTTGCTATTTCTCCACTTCTCCATGCCTGTTGCTCTCATTCCTGTGTACTTAGGTGGCAAAAATCATGAGCTTCCCAGAGAGAGGTGAACCAGCCTGCATTCAAGGGAAGATGCAGTACCATGCCTCTCTAGCAGAACCTACAGATGAGCTCTCAGTAGAAAAGGATATCCTAGCCAAGGAAAGTCTAGGGCTGTACAAACTAAAAGAAAGGAAATAAAACACACATGAATTTTACTTCTTTTTCAGTGTCAGAAGAGACTGCAGTTCTCCCTATGTTAAAATTCTTTCTATTATAGCAATGTGGATATATTTCCCTTGTGCCAAAAGGCAAGATATATGATTCATCTTCTATAGGTGAACCTCTGAAAAAACAGTCCAGAACAGATAATGGTGTGGTGGCCATAGACAGACATCAGAATCAGAGTGCCAGGGTAGATTCGTCACCTTCCAACCAGGAGACTGAGCAAGTTTCCTAACTCACTCCATGCCTTTATTTCCTCACTCACAAAATGAGAACAATAATTGCACCTACTTCTTAGGAATTTCATGAGAGCTGACTAATACACTTAAAGCTCTTAGAGTAGTACCTGGTACATGATCAGCCCTTAGTCAACATCCGTTCTTACTCAGGGATGCATATTCATCATGGTTGGAGCTTGGAATTCAGTATAGCTGAGACCTCTTTTATATCCACCTGAGGATTCATTTTTGAAGTTTTTCCTTTTTGGGGGAGGTGAAGGGTGATCTTTTTTTTTGCACATAAAATGTTTCAAGGAAGCCCAACATATAAAACAGAGATGAGTTTAACTAATCAGGCTGAAGACAGAAAAGACAATCATGTCAAGACGGTTTATCAGCCTTCTTTGTGTTGTTGGCTTAGTTTCCACTTCTTCCTGTGGCTCCTGCTTTTACTATTTCTTCTCTCCAGATATCACATTCAAAGGATCCAGGAGAGGAGACCTGATTATGAGTCTCCTGGTGGAACAGTTATCAGATCAGGATGTGGCTAAGCTACTGGCCCAGCTCAGGTCTTTTTCTCTATCCATTTCCCTTGGACCAGAGTATAAAATCCTAAACTCATCAGTTATGGTCAGGGTAATAGAGTCAAGTAACAGTAAACAAACCTACTATTGGGTAAGGAATTTTTATGATTACTTTTTGGAGAGAGCACTGTGGGAATAGCAGACAATTTGAGGGTCATAGCCTTTCCAGAATTGTTCTTGTGAGTGCCACTCCATGGGTTACACAGCATGTGTTGTATGGTGAGCCCAGTGGTTAGAGTGTCGTGCCCACAGCAACAGTGTGAGGACTGGACTCCATCAGAGAGCTCTACTCTGCTCTCATCTGTCTTATACCAAGCTCTAGCCTTTCATAAATCTCATACAATGCCATTTACCAGGGGTCCTGTGTGGGAGAGTATGAATGGATTGGGACAAAAACATTTTACTTTTCATAAAAGCAACTCAAAGAGAATACCAAGAGGATGAAACAATATTTTTTAAAATAAAATATCCTGATAATGTTTAAGTCAAAACTGCATTGCTAGTTCTGTTGCTAGAGATCAGAAAAATAATAACCTTTGGAGATATAGTGATGGGGAGAGGATTGCTGAGGGCCTCCTGGGGTGCTGGAAATGTCCTATATCTGGGTAGTAGTCACACAAGTGATTTCAGATGTAGATAGATTCATTGAGCTGTATATTTAAGATGTGTGTATTTTATAGCATGGGAGTTATATCACAATGAAAATGAAACAACCCCTGCATTGCTAGCCTAATTCATGTTTGTTGTTTTGTTGGGGGATTTATATTTACTAGGTTATTTGATTTTTATAAACAGCACTACAGGTTTAGACACTTCCATTTTCCATATGTGGAAATTGAGGCTCAAAATAATGTTGATCATCAAATAGTAATGGCATATCCAAACCAGATGTAGTTGAATTTTCTCTGGTATATAACACATTTGCATTTTTTCTAGCTAGATAAAAACTTCATTATAGTTTAATAAAAAGATATGCTAATATTTCAAAATAGTAAAAAGACTAGAACTGGAATTTCTTAACACAAAAAAGTGTTAAATGCTTAGATGATAGATATTTCAATTACCCTGATTTGATCATTACACATTGTATTATTGTGTCAAAATATCACATGTACCCCATAAATAAATACAACTATTGTGTATCTATAATAATTTAAAAAATTAAAAATATGCACTATTGCATAATTGACTCTTATAATACTAGGAAGCCTTCTCACCTCCATGAATTTCCAAAATCTGTACCCAATATTGTGGTATCAGGATGATAAGCATAACTTACCAGCAAGCTGAGATCCTGGGTCTTAGATCTATAAGCCAGAAACTGAAACATGTAGATTCTCAGTATCTGAAGTTTACCTTAAAGGCTTTCCAGATAACCCTCCAGTCTTGCTTCTGATCTGCAGGTTTGAGTATGACTTGCTGGTCAACGTGGATGTAAACAGCACCCAGCACCAGCAGTGGTTCTATTTCAAAGTGAGCGGTATGCAGGCGGCCGTCCCTTACCACTTCAACATCATCAACTGCGAGAAGCCCAACAGCCAGTTTAATTATGGTATGAACTCTAGGGGCTTTCCGGAACATGCCAGGAATGACATTTCTTGACTGTTTGGATTCAAACAGCCTTGCTTGGGTTCAGAGGGTTTGAAGTTGGGTGGAGTTTTGGGTTGCCAGGTGCAGCAAGGCAGGCAGTGGCCCTCAGTGGCACATTGCTACTTTAGAGGGGAGGCTGGGCATCCTCACTCTGCCACACATGACATCCACTTCTTCTGGATTCCCTCACTCTATCTTGAATCTTTTGAGGTTGGTAAGCCCTCTCATTTATTCCTTCTCTCCATCTCCTAAGTCCCATAGGAGCAAATGCTTTGACCTGCTTTTTTTCCTTCAAGATAGAGGAATAACAAAATTCAATTGTACAATACTGATTGACATTCTTAGAAAGCTCTTGAGGAAGTTGAAATTCTCCTGAATGCCCGTGGCCATTTTGGAGGAGATATTCAAGAGAGAAAGGCTGATGAGCAGCCTGTATTTATTTTGAATGTTTCAAGGAGTGGAAATTCTGCATACAATTTCTGCATCATATACTAATTTACTGGGTGACTTTGAAGGAGGAATAAGTATTCCCAGTGTCTAGGGCCAAGTGCAGGATACTACCTCTATTTTGTAGTGACTAAACAGATTCTTGTGGGTATGAGAAGAGAAAATATGGGAACCTTGATATTTATATTCACTTTGTATGGCTGTTGTAACAAATTGTCACAAACTCGGTGATTTAAAACAAGACAGGTCTGTTCTCTTACAGTTCTGGGGTTCAGAAGTCCAAAATCAGTTTCTCTGAGCTGAAGTCAAGCTGTTGGGAGAACCATGTTTCCTCTAGAGATTCCAGGGGAAACTCCATTTTCTTTCCTTTGCCAGCTTCTAGAGTAACATTCCCTGCATTCCTTGGCTGATGGCCCATTCTTGCATCCTCAAAGCTAGTAGTGTTGCATCCTCAAATCTCTCTCTGCTTCAGTCACATTGCATCTCTCTTTTTTTTTAAATTTTTTATTTTTGTGAGACAGCATCTAGCTCTGTCACCTAGGCTGGAATGCAGTGGTGCAATCTCTGCTCACTGCAACCTCTGCATCCCAGGTTCAAGCAATTCTCCTGCCTCAGCCGCTCAAGTAGCTGGGACTACAGGTGCATGCCACCATGCCCAGCTAATTTTTTGTATTTTTAGTAGAGATGGAGTTTCACCATGCTAGCCAGGATGGTCTCAATCTCCTGACCTCGTGATTTGCCAGCTTCAGCCTCCCAAAGTGCATGAGCCACCATGCCTGGCCACATTGCATCTCTTCTATAGTCAAACCTCCCTCTGCCTCCCTCTCATAAGGATATTTGTGATTGCATTTAGGGCTCACCAGGATAATCACCCCATCTCAAGATCCTTAACTTAATCATATCTGCAAAGTCTCTTTGGCCATATACGGTTAACAGTCACAGTTTCCAGGGATTAAGACCTATGTATCTTTGAGGATCATTATTTGGTGCAGAACAACTCTCTTTCCCTCATGTAAAGATTAATTCCTTTCCTGATTTTGTGTAGGGATGCAGCCCACCCTGTATTCCGTGAAGGAGGCCCTTCTTGGCAGACCCACCTGGATACGGACAGGCTATGAAATATGTTACTACAAGTAAGTTAGAGCGCTATTAGCTTCCTTTTCTCTGTCCTGTAATTTTCTCTCAATTTCCCACTTTTCCACATTGATCTTAGAAACATTAGCAATCTGTGCTTGTCTGATAAATTTTTTGTCACTCTGTCCTAATGGCCAATGTCCTGCTCTTCAGAGGTATAAGCATATTCACTGGCACCCACAGTAGACCTCGAGAAATACCTTTTGATTTGCTGAAAGAGTTTATCTTCATTTAAACACATTAAAACTTTTAAATCTTGTTGTCAGATATTAGAAGTCGTAGAGATTCTACCTGTGATTAGTGTGTCAAGCCTTAGTTCTTTACTTATTTCTGCTGAACCCAGAGAGTGAAATGTCTGAGATGTTCTATCCTGTTTCTATCCACCCCGTGGTTTAGTTTTCCAAAGTACAGGAGGGTGAATATGTGACAGTTACATATATGTAACTCCTCCCCATAGCAAGGTAATTTTGTGGAAAAAAATAAAAGAGGGAGGAGTTTCAAAATTCACCTTTAATCCTTGATCAGTCTCCAGTTTCATCAGTTTATCCTGCAAAGTTACAATGAACTTTAAATTGTCCATATATTTTGATGAAAGAAATGCATTCCAGACATCTAGATTGCTTATGTGTATATTTTCTTGAGATGAAAAATAAAATTCAAATTTATAAGAAAATAAGGATAGGAATTGCTATGAGAGGAAGAATATATATATATATATATATGTGTATATATATATAATTATTAGTTCAGTGCTAATTTCTTATAAAAACTGAGAGGCTAGTACTTACTTTCTTAAATAAAGTAAGTTTCATCTCTTTCTGAAATTACTAGAGCCATCTAAAAAAGTATGATCAGACATTCTGGAGTTTAGGATAGTTGTCACTATGGAAAGGAAACAGAGTATATGCCCTTGTGCCTCTTGGCTTTTGAGACTTTGAGGATAGGAGTATTGATAGATGGGAAAGGTCAAGAATCTTGTTGCTGTATCAGATACAAAGGCAAAAATCACCATGGAGATAATGATAGTCTACAAGACACAGAGCCAGGCTGACTAGCAGTCCGTAATAAAAGAGTTGGAGGTATTCAATCCCTGATCTATTAGGATATGAATCTAAAGAGGATTTTTTATATCCTTTAGAAAAATTGCACAATATTATGACTTTGTTGGTTTTCCATTCACCTAAATGGCAACTACTGTCTGGCTCACCTATCTTAAGACTCTCAGGGCCTTTCTTATGGTTCAGAGAGATTTAGATTAAACATCGCCTCAAGGTGATAGTCTGCAACTGCAGAAAAAAAAAATACGAAAATCTACTTTTGGACCTTGGTGTGTCAAGCATGAGTTTTAGTTTTCTCTGAAACTAGTTATTCTCAGTAAATGTGAAAGACCCAGCTTAGAGCTGGCTTGGACCTGAAAGTTAGTAACAGATTGGACAAACATAACATTTTGCATTATTTCCTAATGGGATGTCTAAATGTCCCGTTGGAGGATGCTCCTCTTGGAATTGGGGAATAAGAAGGCTAAGGGGACCACGTATTTCCCAAAAGAAGGAAGAAGTCACACTTTCAAAAGCACAGCCTTGACCTAAGGAGAACCAATTCTGATAGCTTTTAGAGCTATTAGCAAGACAATTATTATATGATTAAAGAGCAACAGAGGGATAAGAAAAAACCATGAATGTATAATGTAATTAATTTTTCATATTCCAGCCATGAATACAGCAGAGATGAATGGATAAGATTGCTACATTGTAATGTAGTTTGTTTTACAATTATTCACCACGTTGTGTTAACATATTCCCATTAATATGATGTAACAACAGGATAGATATGTGTAATCTCTATTCACCCACAAATTAGAACACCTCTCTCAATTGTAAAATGATGTGTTAGATTATACAATATTTCTCTCCCTATTTACCCATCCTGATCTTTGAGTTGATTTGCTTTACAAGAGTTCTTTGCTTCTCTTCTGCCTTTATTATTTCTGGTATATTAATTTGGGAGAACTTTACTTCCCTATTTCCTTATCTCCCATATATCTTTAGAAACTCTGCTCTATTTCTGTTGTGCTGTTAAAGTCCCAGATTTGGTGCCATGTTTTAAGAGGATGCCAGGGTGCTCATTGTGGGGACAACTGTGAGCCGCGGTACCTGAGTATGTTTCTAGAAGGGTGAAAGGAAAAAGGAGATTCAGAAGAAATGGGATTTGCATTTGCATTTTCCTTCAGGAGTTGAAGTTGACAGCAATGATGAGCAGTTGAGGATGTGGGCTGACTACTCTGGAGGGCCAATTGTCATAAAATGAAAAGTCTCCAAACTATTTTGACAATATGCCACTAAGCAATAAGATATATTTGTATGTGTTCTTACTAGATTAGTTTATACATTTAAAAAAGTATATATGCGTTACTATACTAACATATTATGCATATAAGAAGCCATGCAAAAAATGAAGACTTTTAAATTAGGAGAGAAAGATGAAACAAATAATAGTTTATAGCTACCTAATTGTTACATCTTTATGCTATTTATAGCTTAGGGCACACTAGAATTTTGCCATGGAGTTTACCATTAGATGTAGTTATAAGTAGTCTTTTTGGTAATTTTGAGAAATTTTGTTTAACTTTCTAGATCTGATTAGATTATTTTAACAAAAATGAGAATTACTGAGAAAGACCTAATATTAAGGATAAGGGGTAGGCCATGTCCATTCTGCCATTTTCTGGTCATTTTGATTGCAATTTAATTTTAACGTCAATAGATGGCTTCTAAGAAGATTTTCTTTTAAAAAGTAATTGTCTATTTTGTGAGGTTTAGTTTAATTTAGGTAATACAATCTGTAAATCAAAGTATGCTTCCGTAGACTTAAATACCTTGCCGGAAGCTAAAAGCAAAAGAAAAAGGAAGGGAGCTAGTTGTTCCCACTTCTCCCTTTGGAGACCTCTCCTACGCAACAATCAATGCTTAACTAACATGTAAAAACCGTAGAAGCAGATATAATGTGTTTTTCATACTCCAGACCTGGAATACAACAGTGATGAGTGGATATGATTGCTGCACCATCATCTGGTTTGACACATTAGGTTGACATTGAGACAGCTATGCCAATCCCCATATTAAACAGTAGACGACTTAATTTCTTTCTTACTATCTAGGTAATAATCATTTTGAGGAGAAATTCTAATATTTTCTGCCTGTGGTCAGTTGATCACTCTGCCCCTCCCATGGAGCACCTCCCACCCCTTCTGTTCCACCCCTTGCTCTTCCCCACCTTGAAGACCACTAGGCTGGAAAATAAAAAATGCCCCTCGAGAGGGAGGAACAGAAATGGGCAGATTCGTTTTTCCCTGCCTCTAGTAAAAGTAAGTAAGGGCCCTTTTAGTTTCTCTTTTATTTAGTTCCCTGTGGTCTGCTTCTTCCTCTGATGTGCACAGCCACACACCTTTTTGAATTCTTTCCCTGCTCTGGTCTAAAGTAATTTTGGTGCTGAAGGGCAGAGGGAGGGAAGCTGTGCGCTTAGAGTGGCCATGTAATACACAACGGCTGATCTCTTCTGACATTTATCTCCGCTCATGAGAGGAGATGGAACAGCTCACTCATGAAGATGAATGTCATACAAGAGCTCTGCCATCATGCATCCTTCCACGGGATCTCAGGAGAGAGATTTGGTGTTATATAGAATATTAGAAATGCTGCAGACACAGGGAAGCCTGGCAACTTCGCTGCTCTGCCTTATTAGATCCTGTTAAGTGAAATGATGCACGCTTGTTGAACAGAGCCATTGTCATTATAAGATTATCTAATCCATTCTCCATCATGGCATTTGCTTATTTTATGCACCCTGCCTAAAAGAAACAATGACTTTCCAGCATATTTTTAAATACAAATGGAAATAACCTGAGTTCATAACTATGCCTTTGTGTACTTGCTCCTTGCTTCATTGAAGTCTTTATGATTATAAAAGTACAGATCCTTCCAAAGATAAATGGTTCAGGGAACAGAAAAGCAAACAAAAAGCCTTTTAGCTGTGAAGTTGCTGGATGTACCCAGCCCAGGTCATCTTTGACCCCAGATGACCAATAGAATCCAGCTAATCTTCAAGATCACTTCTGATTTTCACCAGGCTGCTTCTCCATCTAGATGAACAGCTTGAGGAGAGGAAGTTCTTTGACTCAGACTTCCCATTCATTAATGGCGTGACCTTGGGCAAATTATACCAACTTCTTTCAACCTCAGATTCTTCATCTTAAAATGGGATAATAATGGTATCTACCTAATAGAAGTGTTCTGAAGATAAAATGACGTGAGATAAAACATGTGTAAAGGTTAGAACAGTGTTTGGTGCATAGTAGGTGTTCAATGAATGCTAGCAATTATTTTAAATAATTAGTAAAAACATCTTCTTAGTGGCATCGAATATCAATGATATAAAAGTCATCGTATATGGATCATATTAACTCTCAGCTGGATTATTTTCCTTTTTTTTCTGTTATTTTGGACTGTAAGTTCATAGGCAGCTCTGATTTATGAAGATAAAAACTTCAGATTCTTACTTGCTACACTGGGCATAAGACATCTTGTCGTTTTTTATCCATTCCTAACAAGCAGGTGATATAATAAAAAAAAATTAGTTTTTGAGCTAAGCCTACAACTGGGATTAAATCCTGTTTACTATACTTGTTGTGTGCAATTGCTCTAGACACTTAACCTCTGTGAGCCTTAATTCCCATCTGTTGAATGTGTGTAATAATACTCACCTTGAAAGGGTGTCATTAGGATTGGAGATAAAATACATTGAGCAACCTAATTATTACTCCTGGCGTCTTGGGTCCACTTATTATACAAACTTTAACTGAACAGCTGCTATGTCCAGGCAATGTGGGAAGCATAAAGATAAACAGATGAATAAGCATGGTCCTTGCCACAAAGTATTGGCCATGAGAATAGGAGTGATAAGGGGGCTATCAAGGAAGGCTTCCTGAAAGAGGAAACACTTGAGTTAAATCTTGAAGGATGAAGGAGACTTAGCTAAATAAGGAAGGTGGAAAGGGCTTTCCATATAAAGCAAGAACATGGGAACAATTTAACATAGGAAGGATGAACATTGCTTCTTGCAAACATCACTCGATATGTCCACATCATAACTGGGAAAAGAAAAGAGCTTGTTGATGGGATCTCAGTTTATCATGGATGAACTGAACTGTAGCAAGCCAGATGTTTCACTTTAGAGATTTATCAAACACTTGGCTTTGAAGAAGATGATCTTGGGAAAGTTTAAAGGCCTCTGCAGAGGAAGGTATGCTGGAAGTAGAGTCATCTCCTGGACAACTCCTGCTACAAGGGGGCTGCCAGGAGACTCCGGTGGGGATGCCTGACATTTGCTTTAGGTTCAGCCAGAGTTTAGACCCCAGGCGAGGGTTGTAACTGAATTTCCTTTAGCTGAAAGTCATTCTAAATAAGGTGTTAATAATATTTTTGTTTTTGGAATTCCAGCAGTGTGTAACCATCCTGGAGACGACTGGCTTGTCGGTGGAGAGCCTTTAGTCTTGATCAGGAGACTCTAACATCACCAAGCTGTGGGGGGTAGTGTGTTAGGTGAGGGAAAGAGAGAGAGAGGGAGACTGTGTGTATGTGTATATATGTTGGTGGTGTGAGAAGGCAGATTTGACATAATCAAATCTACCATTTGAATTCCTTACACTTCCCTTAAATCTTGAGCCCATGGAAGCTCAAGAGCTAATGATTAGCCCATTTTATTTCTCTTTCCATTTCACTGCAGCTGTTCTTTCCTTGGAGTCCAGATTTGGTCTGAATGAGGGAAAGACATAGAGATAAATACATGGATTTTTTTTTTCTCTGTCTTTCTTGGTCTCTCCTGTGGTTGAATGTGGTGAGGTTGAGTTTGCACAGGCTAAATGGGCTTGTGATATGACTTTAGTGTACTAATATTGCAGTGGGGAACCTAAAAAGAAGCAAGGCCCATGCCAAATAAGACCAACCCTACTGGCCCTTAGGGACACCTATTATTCTTGAGTCAAGATACAGGCTCTGTCTCCACTGTTTGCAGGCGAAGAACTGGGGACAGTGAAGCACAATGTGCGTGTTTCCATCTGCCTTTACATTCATGAATACGTGCACATCTGTGTGTGCACCCACACATATATGCTTACAAGTGAAGCACTCTTCCACCCTTTGATTGGTTATCCCTGGCTCATTTGATTTCAACTGCTGTTTCCTGTAAAGAGGAGTAATTGACTGGCATTTTGTTCAGCAAGGTGTAAACTGAGTATATGTTTGCATGGAGGCTTTACAAGGGAAATCAGAAAGCAAATAAGAGGTAGAGCATATGTAACTTGCATGCTTTCTGAGCTACCATCTGCTTCTTTACATACTTTCTAATAACCAGAATCATAGCTTTTGGAGAAGCTTCAGAACTTTGGGGCAATCTGGCAAAGTAGACTCAATTAAGCATTGCGATCCATATCACACCATGTGGGAAGACACTCTTTTGGAATTTCTATTTCTGTAGGCACAAAGGAAATGGATTCTATTAATACAATGCCAAAAACCTGGGTGTGACAGCCACTTGGGGCTGACGTTGTTACAGGGTACCCTCCTTTCCCTAGCATGACCAAGGCTCTAGGTTGCTATGTTGACAGAAGCTGATTCAAGATAAAGGTATCAGGCCATAGTCAGTGGGCTACCAGCTTGCCCTAGTCCCATTCCTAGGTGTATAAATATTGAAAAGCCACAAAACCATGAGAAATAAAATAATAGATTTTCTATCTCTTTCTTCTATGCTTGCTTTTTGCTTAGGTAGGTAGTGGCATGAAGGTAGCAAAAAAGTAGTAAAGAATAACCTATGTTTTTTATATTTTTCAAGAACACACAAGAATAATTACCTACTATTTCTTCCCTTCCCCTTCCCTTTCCCCCAATAAAACCAAAAGCACAATGGACTAGTAAGCCAACGTTGTAAATGTTCAAAGGTGGAATTACATCTCTTGGTGTCCGGGTGTATTTTGCATTATAATGCAGCCTTGATGATAACATTTCTCAGGAAAGCCTGCGCAGCTGTCTGAGCATCAATTGGCAGTGTGTGGGGAAAATATTGCTCGGAATGGACTTCTGGGTGCAATTTTCTTTGATACTGTTCTCTGAAGTATCAAAATTGGTTCTTCATCTTTGACAAAGGAAAATGTGCACTCTCAAGCCTTACGAAGCTGAACCACATTTGAGGTGACAAATATATTCCTTTGGGAAGAAAGCATTGTACAGTGGAAAGAACAAAGCCTTTGTAGCCAGAGAGATCTGGGTCTTAGTCCTGTATCTACCATTTCGCTTTCAGCCCTTTGGCAAATTAACTTTTCTAAGCTTTTGTTTCATCATCCACACGATGGGTTGCTGCAATAATAACATAAGATAACATATGTTAAATGTTGAATTGGAATTCGATATATCCTATGATTGCTGATAAATCTACTTGGCAGGTAGAGGGGAAAGGAAGGAGTTGTACCCTATGTGGTCTGGGGAGAGACAGGGATTGGGGGAACCCAAATTTGGATGATAAAGTTTATATCTCCAATGTAAACCCAGGAAAAACAGAACTGTTCACATTTTCCTCGATTTTCTAGCTCAATGACTAGACATCCCTCATTTTCAGACAGCAAAGAAAGGTTGGTAGCATATATGGCACAGTTGGGAGGCAGATGGGCCAGGCTATATGTTGCTGAACTGACTCATGAACTGGCAGTAAGTTCACTTGTACATTTCCCTTTTCTCAGTTTCACCTGCAGAAATGTTTCAAGTGAAGGCCATTGTGCCAATACAGTATATAACGCCAAGATTTATAGCATCTAGGACCCTAAGTGACCCTGCACCCCCCTCCCACCTCTCCCTTATTCTCTTCTCCTCCTCTCTCTTTAGAAATCATTATCGCCAGAGTACAGCTGCTGCAGGCGGAGCATCTGGGAAGTGCTACTATACCCTCACCTTTGCTGTCACCTTCCCACACAATGAGGATGTCTGCTACCTGGCCTACCACTATCCCTACACCTACACAGCCCTCATGGTAACTTCCTCTTTACAGTATCACTCCAGCAGGACTGAAGGGGCTCTCTGATGTTTTCCCGAGAACGTTTTGGAGACCCTGACATCCTGATTGGGGGCGGAGGAGGGTGTAGGGAAACTACGGTCTTCCTAAGGGAGCCAGGTTTTGTTGTCACTGACTTGGTGGCTTTCTATGTGTCCCATCTCCTTCCCTGGACAGAGCACAAGGCTGAGCCTTGATCAGTGACATTCAGAAGGCCCAAGTGGTCTGCAAGTTGGGGCAGGACATGGGGACATTTCTTAAGAGACTTTATGTTTAACAAGTCAAGTTAAGTATGAAGTAGGTTGGAGTAGTATGGGAAGCAAGACCATACAAGTAAACTGAAATGCAAATCTGAAGAAAATTCAGTCATTCAGAGGAATGGAGAAAGCAGGAAGGTAGAGCTTGGGAAACTTCTGAGTCTGTGTGCAAGCAGCCATACCAGCATCTCCAGTGGTTCCAATGACCATGAGCTGGAGGTGGCTAGCAGGATCCAGAGTGGAAGAGAAAAGTGTAAGAATAAAACACTAGATCATTGCAACAGACAACCACAATCTTTTTATGAGGGAGAGTAGGAGAAGTCAGGGCAGACTCACAGTTAGCATTCCTGTGTTCCATAAGGCCCTGCAAAAAGTTCGCAAGACTATTGTGAGCAAATGGACTGCTTAAACCATGCAGTTTTCTGTCATTTGAAAAAGCTGGCAAACTATCCCTTACTGCTACCATTTCGTGGATATCCTAAGGATAAATGAGCTCCAGTAACTTCTATAAAGCACTTTCATCCTCTGTGTTAATGTAAAATGTTATTAGCATATTTATAATCATATGTGTTTATATGAGTATATGTATCACTTAGCCTGAAGGATGAGCATTTTCATTTTAAGGCTGTGATAAGGAGTTGGAAAAGATAATAACCAAGAACATCTTTTCCTTCAAAAGGAATGTGCAGGTATAAATGGGAATTTTTTGCATAGAGAAGGCATATCTTGCACCACTTGGCTCACTGCTTCATGTAAGTGCATCTGTCCTCTTCTCCATATGTTGTCTTGCCTAAAGAGAGATTTTTACTGTTTTCCAGATTGCAAAAGATACACAACTAGTATTATTTGTGTATCACACTCAGAGAGCTCAAGAAGTTAATCCAAGTAATGTGCATCGCAAGCTAGGCTGTAACAAGCCACATTTGTTATAAAACATGTTTTGTTGCCTTTAGGGACACAGAACAGGCAAGATTCATGATCCCCCTTCAACAGTTGTTTTTACGGCCTTGCCTGTGAAACGCTGCACATGAAAAGTCTACTGTGGGCTGGGCGCAGTGGCTCACTCCTGTAATCTCAGCACTTTGGGAGGCCAAGGTGAGAGGATTGCTTGAGCCAGAGTTCGAGACCAGTCTGGGCAGCATGGTGAAACCCCATCTCTACAAAAAATACAAAAATTAGCCAGGCCTAGTGGCATGCACCCATAGACCCAGCTACTTGGAAGGCTGAGATAGAGGATCACTTGGGATCAGGAGGTTGAGGCTGCAGTGAGCCAGGATCACACAACTGCATTCCATCGTGGGCAACCGAGTGAGACCCTATCTGGAAAAACAAACAAACAAACAAACAAACAAACAAAAGCCAAAAGCAAAAAAAGTCTGCTAGGGAAGGGGATTTCTTTTTAAATATGTGTTATGTGTTTGCCTTTCCCATTGGGTAAGGGATCATGGATCTAGGACACTGTTCTTTTCACTTGTTAGAATATCTTGGACTCTGATAAGGTCCTGGTGGCCATTCGTATAAAACATTAGAACGCAAAGGGGTTGGTGAAGTTGTCTAATTCACCCTTAACATTTATAGATGCAAGAACTGAGACCTGAAGTCCCACATTTAGCTAGCAGCCATGCAGGGACAGAACATCAGCCTTTGAGGTGTATTCCTGTGGTCTTTCTACTCTCCTGTAGAAAAGTGTAGAAGAAATTCCTAATTTCTGCTCTGGGGTCAGATCAGTGTCATAGCTTGCTATTACATTCATAAGCTACTAACACATGCAGTCGTTTTATGAGTACATGTAGTCATCATTGTGTGATGATACAGACATCTCTAATGTTTGAATTCAAATCACCAACCCACAGTTTATATCTTTAATGCTGAGTGCTGTGGATGTGGTTCCCCTGAAGGATAATGTCTCTTTCCAAACATGGTCTAATTCTTACCCCAAGATGCTCCAGTGGGTTCTTGCTAGGCGCCTACAAGCTGATTCAAATTGTGTACGCCTTTCAACCTGCCCTTGACCTGATGGTACCTAGTTGTTGACCTTGTGCCTCTGGGCCTGCTTACCTTCTGGACACAGTTTCAGATCAGAACACAACGTCTAAAATTTGCAATTGGTAAGTAACTCTAAGAACCACTGGGTCGGAGGTCAATGAGGAGATGATTTCATCTTAAAGGGAAACAAAAACACACAAAAAAGAGGACTCCCCTCTCTGCACCAATCACTTAGTTTCACTGAGAGGGAAAGAGAGGCCTTGTTAATTGATGCTTATTGACTTGTTACTGTTAACAATATTAATAACTATTACTGTTACTATTAATTACAATAAGCTATAACTACTTATGACTTTTTATTGTTACTTGTGAGCTTGCTGACTGTGAATGTCTTCCACCAGGGAAGTTTGTGGAAAGTTAATGAGAAAGAGGGATAACTTATTTCTCCTAACTGAGCAAAACAGGGTTAGAAAGACACTTTGTTACTTGAAAGTGACAAATGTGTATTCTCAATTTTAGGTTTTACATTTCCAATAACTCATGGTCTTTGTCCTCTCTAGGTTTAAGACAATAATTGACTCTGTGACTTCTCTTAAAAAAACTCTTCCTCCCATCATGGACAGAATGAGTACATTCTGTAATACACACTAGTCATTTTTATTTTTGGACATGTCCTGAGGAGAAACAGTTTTTCTTCCAACAGATCAGTGATAAATTAAATGTGAATGATACCCCAAAGGGAGAATTAACTGTATGTTACTTGGGGGTTATGGTGAGGGGTAGAAAATACGTTTCCATGTGGAATTCATAATTTGCAAGACTCTTATAATATGGATTACATTTAATAATTACAGACATTTTTGTAGCAAAGGACTTGTGTGTTGGATGTTTTTCAATGTGAATACAATTTTGAAACTTTCAAAATTTTATTATTCTCTTATAATAAGAAAATTAGTATTTGGTTCTTTCAAATGGATATTTCCAGATGCTTGCCAGTAAGTCTGTTGGATAATTTTTCATATTATAGCATTAAAATACAGCTAAAAGAAAGAAATACACTATTGTAATTCTGAAGCAAACAAAAAAAGCTCTATTTTAATCAGTTGTATCAAGTTATCAGTAATTGTAATGATTGTTAAAGTGTTAGCAATACTCGTTAAAGTATTAGAATTATGTTATAAATAGCCCCTAGGTAGCCAGTAGTATTGGTTGCAAATGGGGCCCCAAGAGAGTTTCTGATGAATATTTTAGGAGGTAAAAAATTGGGATCTCACTGAGAACTTATAACTGTGTGAAATGACAACAGACAAAAAAAGTGGTCATTAGTAGAGTCCATGGATTGGGAGAGCTTAAGGATCTTAAAGGATAGAGTAGAATTTTTATCAGACACATATACCCACTGTGGAAGATGTGAATACTGTTATCTCCAGAGGCAGAGGGTGGCGGGGGAGGGGGAAGAGAGAGAGAGAAGAAAGAAGAAAGAAAAGAAAAGAAAAAAGAAAGGAAAAAGAAAAGAAAAGGAATTAGAATGCCACATGCACAGTATCTTATAAAAGACTCAGAATAAATGAAGAGTTTAAGAAGTGTCAAGTGGGAGATGTTGACTTACATGTGGCAGATCAAAGATGCAATGAACAGGTCATAAATCAGCACTGTCAGGTAATCAGTAGACAGAGATCCATCCTTGTATAGGCCAAACAAATGACAGACCCCAATAAAGGTTCTTTTTTTTTTTTTGAGACGGAGTCTCGCTCTGTCGCCCAAGCTGGAGTGCAGTGGCCGGATCTCAGCTCACTGCAAGCTCCGCCTCCCGGGTTCACACCATTCTCCTGCCTCAGCCTCCCTAGTAGCTGGGACTACAGGCATCCGCCACCTTGCCCGGCTAGTTTTTTGTATTTTTTTAGTAGAGACGGGGTTTCACCATGTTAGCCAGGATGGTCTCGGTCTCCTGACCTTGTGATCCGCCCGTCTCGGCCTCCCAAAGCGCTGGGATTACAGGCTTGAGCCACCGCGCCCGGCCCCAATAAAGATTCTTGATGGTGAGGAGGTGAGCATGGAAAACCATTCTGAAGGAGCCAATATGTGCATGAATGGTAAAGTCTTTGACAACAAGGACGTCTGAATTCCCTAAATACAGGGTCTTGGGCACAATGAAAGAAAGTTTTGAGGTCAGACAGACCTAGATTTTGGTCTAGGTGTTGTGTTTCCTTGCTGTGTAGCCACAGGCAAGCTATTTAACTTCTCTTAGCTCGGTTTTCTCATCTGTAAAATTGGAAACAAAAAAGCAGTGAACTACATAGGCTATTTTCAAGGTTAAATAGTTGCTAATTGGAAAGTTTTAGCAAAGTGTCTACATCTAGTAAGCAATACTAGATGGTAACCATTAAAGCGTTTATTATTTTTTGTGATGACGTGTGATTATTTTCTCTGTTGGACTGATTGGAAGATACCCATTCCATAATTCATACTAAAATTAAAAAAAAAATACAAATGAAAGACCCCTCCTCAAAAATTACAAAGGATACTGATGGTTTTCTTGGAGTAGTTGATTATGATTATTTTTTTCTTACTCTTTTTTCCAAATCATCATACTATAGCTTTGCTTATTTTTAATGGACAAGGAATATTAAAACCATTCTTTCTTTATAATTGACAAATCTATGAGTAGTTATGTAGAGACTAATCATTTCTCACATTTTTAAAGTTAAGTCCCTTTAAGTTTGGGAGCATAATATT